CAAGCGAGTCTCCTGCCTCCGCCTCCCAAGTAGCTGGGACCACAGGTGCCCGCCACAACGCCCAGCTATTTTTTGGTTGCAGCCGGCATTGTTGTTTGGCGGGTCCAGGCTGGGGATTCGAACCCACCACCTTAGGTGTACGTGGCTGGCGCCTTAGCCGGTTGAGCTATAGGTGCCTTAAAGTGTATTTTCTTTTTATTTTATACACTTTTTGCCACTGCTTCACTTAACTGTTTTACATTTGAGTTGTTTTTGTTTTTTTGTAGAGACAGAGTCTCACTTTATTGCCGTTGGTAGAGTGTTGTGACATCACAGCTCACAGCAACCTCCAACTCCTGGGCTTAGGCCGTTCTCTTGCCTCAGCCCCCTGAGCAGCTGGGACTACAGGTGCCTGCCACAACGCCTGGCTATTTTTCGTTGTTGTTGCAGTTTGGCTGTGCCCGGGTTTGAACTCGCCACCCTCAGTATATGGGGCCGGCACCCTACCCACTGTGCATAGGCCCCGCTCTTTACATTTGAGTTTAAAGCTTTTCAGTTTTAAAGATCTGATAAAGGTCAAAAGTAAGTGAGTACCATTTGGAGAGTATTATTCTTACACTCATAGCACCCTGGGAAATTCAGAGCAGGGAGGTCATATCTGAACTGTGTGTGAGAGGCCCAGAGTTCCGGAATGATTGCATTGGGTAGCACAGGGCCCTTGAGAATGGCAGGACACTGGCAGTCAGGGGTGGCCCCCAGGGAAGACTGACTGCCTTCATCTGTTCCAGAACCGCTGTCTCCAGAGCTGCTCCAGCACCCCTGAGACAGGAGGGTAGCTTCTCTCCAGGGAATTTGGAGAGGCTGCCAACTTAAATCTTATGTATTTTCAACGTTTAAAACTTTCTGTGGTTGAGAATTCAGTGCTTTATTAAAAGATTAAAATTATAACTTTGCATTTATTTTAAAAGCAAATCTTGTGGTTTGTCTTTTCTTACTTGGCACTGGAAACTTTGATTTAGCATACAAAGTTTATCAATAAAATAAGAATTCTGATTAAAATTGTGACCAAAACTTATAAAATTATAAAGACCTATTTGAGATGATTGGAGAAATCTTCTGTGACTCTTACCACTTTAACTTTCAGATAAGATGCATTATTTGAAAAGTCTTCCAGATTTTGATTTTCAAATTAAGAATTCCCAGAGAAATCTGGGATCACTTGGAAAAGGGAGACAGGGCTCGGGCGCCTATAGCTCAACCGGCTAAGGCGCCAGCCACGTACATCTAAGGTGGCGGGTTCGATTCCCAGCCCGGACCCACCAAACAACAATGACGGCTGCAACCAAAAAATAGCCGGGCGTTGTGGCAGGCGCCTGTGGTCCCAGCTACTTGGGAGGCAGGAGCCCAGGAGCTGGAGGTTGCTGTGAGCTGTAATGCCACTGGCACTCTACCCAGGGGGACAGCTTGAGGCTCTGTCTCAAAAAAAAAAAAAAAAAAAGAAAAGGGAGACAGAATAAAGAAGTTGTATTTATTTTATTTTGTGTGTGTGTGTTTTTATTTTTATTTATTTAATTATTCCAAAGGTCACTTTTTAATTACTTTACAAAAGGTCCATTATGTAAACAAAGCTCTACTTTGAGAGGAAGTTTTATTTATTTTTATTTTATTTTATTATTTATTTATTTTTTATTTTTTTGCAGTTTTTGGCTGGGGCTGGGTTTGAACCTGCCATCTCTGGCATATGGGACTGACTCCCTACCCTTTTGAGCCACAGGTGCCATCCTATTTTATTCTATTTTTGAGAAACAGAGTCTCACGATGTCGCCCTTGTTAGAGTGCCGTGGCATCACAGCTTATAGCAACCTCAAACTCTTGGGTTTAAGCAATTCTCTTACCTCCGCCTCCGAAGTAGCTGGGACTACAGGCACCCACCAAAATGCCCAGCTATTTTTTGTTGCAGTTGTCGTTGTTTAGCTGGCCCAGGCCGGGTTCAAACCTGCCATCCTCAGTGTATGTGGCTGGCACCAGTGCTGAGCAGAGAGGAAGTTTTAAAATAAGAGTTATTTGAAAGAAAAAGTTCTATTTCAAAACCCAAAAAATTGAAAAGCCACTACCGTTATAATTTTTTTAAGCCAAAACTTTTAAAGGCATACTATTAGCATTTTTAACTCATAGTTCTCAGAGAAGAGCATGTTTCTGGTTTTTTAATTTGCAGTCTTGTAGGCTATTGATTAGGTAAAAATTTGGTCATTGAAAACTGGTAACCACTAACCCAGTGTTTGTGGATAGCAGGTGTACTGACACGCACACGTATGTTTGTGTAGATGTCTTTGTATGTGTGCACTTGAGTGTGTCAACAGGTAGATTTATTTGCTGCCGCATACAATTTCTTTTACATTTTGAAAATAAAAATATTCAATTATTAATATACTATTATTTATATAAAAATCCTGATAAGATCTTTTTATGTTGAATAGGGTCACTGTAATGATTTACTGATCTTTCAAACACAGCCTTATTCACTACTCAGGTAAGCAAATTTAGTATTTTTACATATATATGCTATGAATATATAATAATTTCTCCTTTTGGGGAAGTGTTATGGTATTTTCAGGTAGTTTATGACTGGAATTTGAGAAAATACATCTTTTGAAGAGCAAAATCAAATTTATAATGCTGAATCTTTTACCACTGTGATTTTTAATATTAAAATACATAATGCCTTCACATTTTTGTTTTATTTATAAAATTACATTTAGTTCATATGGTAATATTACACCTACTGCATTTCTTTAATTCTAAGACTGCTTTTTTTACATTTAACTTTTTGGAAATTTGAATAATAGGTATATAATAAGTAAGTTATATTCAGTCATCTCTCAGTACCTGAGGGGGTTGGTTTCAGGACACCCCTTCCCTGACAGATTCCGAAGTCTGTGGATGCCCAGGTCCTTGACATGAAATGGTGTGGTATTTGCACGTAACCTGTGCACAATCTCCATATGCTATAAATCATCCCTAGATTATTCCTAATAACTAGTGCAATTTAAATACTATGTAAATAGCTGTTATGCTGTATCATCTAGGGCATAATGAGAAAAAAAAAGTCTATACATGCTCAGCACAGATGCTGCCATCATAGGCCTAATTGCAGTGGCCGGAATCCACGGAGGAGGAACCCACAGGTATGGAGGACTGGCCACAGACCCAAATCCCAAAGCCGTTACATGTTGGTGGCATGACTCGCGTTGTGTTGGCTCATATGCTCTTGCTCTGCAGGGAGTCTATACAAAGCTTAATGGGAGGATGGTGGGGAAGCCCCTATTTCTGCCTGTGAGAGTTGGGAAAAAGGATTTGAGAGAAGTAGACGTTGCCTAGTGTGAGAATTCTATGTGGTGGGAATAACGTGGGTAAAGACAGACAAGAGACAGAGAATATGAGAGAGAGGATGTGTGTATTTCAAAGAATATTTGCCGTAAGTTCTAGATGTTCTACACATCGAATCACTTGAAAACCACTGGACTAGCTCACTTTGGGCCTTCCTGAAGACTGATCTGCTCCTTCTTTTAGCACAATAGTTCTCAAACTTATCAGAATGTTAGATTCTTCTGGGAAGCTTTAGAAAAGACCAATGGCTGTATTCTGCCGCCACATGTTATATTTTAATTATTCTAGGTGTGGCCTGAACCCTGAAATTTTTTAAAGATGCCATGCTAACTCTCAGGTACAGGACCAGTTTGGAAAGTTCTGCTGTAATGACTTCTAATGCCCTGGATTGTTTCTTAACTTTTCTTATGAATATAACCTATCATCCCTAACTAGATAGCAAGTTCCTCAAAGGCAGGGATCAGGAAATGCTTGAGTGCCTACATGGGAAGGCAGTATGCTACGAAACAACAAGGTGGGACCTTGCCCGTAAATTACTAATAATATAAAAAGTGGACTTTCAAGCTTTCAGACCTTTTTATGATAGAAAAAGAAAACTGTTTTAAGAGAAACATAAGCAAAGTTCACAAAAATACAGCAGAAGATGGCTCTCTGTTCTCATGGTCAAGATAGAAAGGGTTAGGGAAGTCTTTGTAGAGAGTTTGAGCTAAGAATTTTCCATTGGCTCGACACCTGTAGCTCAGTGAGTAGGGTGCCGGTCACATACACCGAAGCTGGCAGGTTCAAGCCTGGCCTGGGCCTGCTAAACAACAATGACAACTGCAACCAAAAATAGCTGAGCATTGTGGTGGGCACCTGTAGTCCTAGCTACTCAGGAGGCTGAGGCAAGAAAATTGCTTAAACCCCAGAGTTTGAGATTGCTGTGAGCTGTGACACCATGGCACTCAACTGAGAGCGACATAGTGAGACTCTGTCTCAAAAAAGAATTTTCCATGAACAAGCTTTGCAAGTATTTAAGTATAAAGATATGTATATGTGTGTGTGTGCTGTGTTCTGGAAACTGAATTCCTGAGTATTCCTGGATAATACGTATGAGGTGGAAAGTTGTGAGAAATAGAGCTAAATGGGAAATCAGAAGCCACATGTCGTGTAGCACCTCTGTCCCTCAGGCAGAGGAGTTTACAGTATCTGGATGATTGGGAACCATTGAAACATTCAGGGCAGGGGAATGAGATGATTATACAATTATCAGTTAGAAAATTCCTCCATCAACAGTGGATGAAAAACAACAGGACACATGATTAGGTAAGAAAGTGGGTAAAGAGACTAGTGTGGTAGTCTAGGAACAAAGTGAGTGTCTGATCTGTTGGTTGGGGCTGGGGAAGAACAGGAGAGAGAAGGGTGTAAGAGGTAAAATGGACTTGGTAGTTGAATAGGTGCCAAGGGAAAAGAGAGAGAAGGATTAATGATGGGGGAGTGTGGAAAGGGGACCAGCTCCGAGACAGGTAGGGTAGAAATGGTGAATTTGGTTTGGGACAGAATTGCACATTAAGAGCTTATGGGGCTTCTAGAGGAGATATCCATTAGTTAAATACATGGGAAGGGATCTGGGCTAGACATAAAATTTAAGAATTACTGGAGAACTAATGAGCAGGGGTTAGTTCTGGCCAGGAAGAGTTTTAAGAGTAAGAAGGGATAACAGCATTAGGAAAAGCAGGCAGAAGAAAGAGGCAGCGAGTGAGTGACCAGAGAAGCTGAAGGTAGTGCAGGAACAGAGAGGAGGAGCTGAAAGTGGAAAGGCTGCTGTGAAGCAGCCACAGAGTGCTCGGGTTGAAAGCACATGGAGGGCCAGGCACAGGGCTCATGCCTAATCTCGGTACTTTGGGAGGTCCACGTGGGAGGGTTCATTGAGGCCAGGAGTTTGAGACCAGCCTGAGCAACACAGTGAGACAACATCTCTATAAAGGATTAGAAAACTCAGCCAGGTGTGGTGGTACGCCTGTAGTCCAGCTACACTGGAGGCTGAGGATCCCAGGCTGCAGTGAGCCATGATCACACCACTGTGCTGTAGTCTGAGGGACAAGAGAGACTTCGTCTCAAGAAAAAACAAAAAGAGAGAAGAAGGAAGGAAGGAAGAGAGAGCCAGGAAGGTGGCTCACACCTGTAATCCTAACTCTGGGAAGCTGAGGGCAGAGGCGGGTAGATTGCCTGCGTTCACAGGTTCAAGACCACCCTGAGCAAGAGCAAAACCCCATCTCTAAAAACAAAAAAATGCCTGGGACTACAGGCATTGTGTCAGGAGCCTGTAGTCTCAGCTACTAGGGAGGCTGAGGCAAGAGGATTGCTTGAGCCCAAGAGTTTGAGGTTGCTGTGAGCTAGGACCCCACAGCACTCTACCAGGGTGACAAAGTGAGACTTGGTCTCAAAAAAAAAAAAAAAACAAGAAGAAGAAAAAGAGGGAAGGTAGGAAGAAAGAAAAGAGAAAGGGAAGAAGGAAAGGAGGGAGAGAAAAGGAAGGGGAAGGGAAAGCATTGTGGAGTTCGTTAATAGGAACCGGTTGGGAAGGTGGAGGTGGGAGCCAGGATGGCTCTGGGGAGGAGCATTGGGGAGGGAGCACTCACCTGTTTGTGTGCTAAGGAGAGTCACTGGGAACTGAGTTATCAGAAACACTGGAACACGCAGAGAAAACTGAGTCTTGGGGAGGTATATTTAGCAAACAGGGTTTTAAATTAGCCCTTGATTGGAGGAGGGTTCTTTTCTTTTGAAATAGTGAAGAAGGAAGTATGGACATAAGAACAGAAAACTTGTTGGAACAGGGGCATTGAGAAGGTTTTCATTGAGAGCGAGGTCATCTGAGGAGAAAAAAGAGAGGCAGAGGTATGAAGAGCAGTGAAGACGTGAATCAGTTGCTCCCTGTGACTCGGTGACTCGCGAGCGGCTGCTGCCGGGACTGTGTGCCGTGGCTGAGACGGGACCAGGTCAGCACGCGGTGGCGCCTAGGCTTCCCCAGCAGCAGGACTGGCCAGTGGCAGGGGCAGAGGGGGGAGGACGCCAAACAGGGACAGAGGAGAAGGGATTAAAGTTACCGCGCGAGAATGAAGTGCTTAGGGACGAGGCTGGCTAGGAAAGGAAGTACAAACTGGGAGGATCCAGGGAGTTCGTGCAAGTGCGCTGAAGTAAATGCAGTGCGAGAATTACAGGGGCAAGAGTCTCTGGTCCACGAGGAGGGAGGGTGTGGGAGTCAGAGGTTCAGAGGTGGGACTGCCCTGGGGGGGTGGTCACAAAGACGGAAAAGGGTTCCCCACTCAGGTGCGGATCGGTTGAAGACAGAGGCTGTGGCGAGCAGACGTCCCAGTGACGGGGACAGGGGGAGCGGGCAGGTTGGTAGTGGCGGCGCCTGCAGGTGCAGTGACGGCAGCCTGCGAGTGGCGCTAAGGGCCCAGGAGGGTCTGGCGCTGGCTCCTGAGCTGAAACCGAGACACGCGGGATGAGCACTCCTTTCTCGGCGAGCATTCCTGTCTCGGCGCCTGTCGTAGATTTCAGGAAAGTCAGAGGAAGCAGGGGTGTGTGGAGAACGTACAACAGGTGTTCCAAAGAGCACAACAGAGGTTAGGGAGGAAAGGCAAGCAATGACGGGGCGATAAACCAGTATAGAAATGAGAGAAGGGGAAATGACAGACGGCTGGACAGGCTTGTGTTGTTGGAGGTGACGCTCAGGGGGCCCCCCGGTCTTAGGCTTCTTTCTATCATCCCTGGTGCTGATACTGTCCTCTTCTGTGTGAATGGGTGCATGTCCTTTCCACGCTGACTGTATTTTGATACATTAAACTTGACTATGGCAATAATTTAGTGCTATTTATTGAGTGAGGCCTGTTCACCATGACCAGGTGTCCACAGGACAGCATTTTTCTCTCACTCTGTCAAGACAATGGGAGAAAACAAAGATGAATAGTCCTCAGCCAGGCTGCAGCTCACACCTGTACTCCCAGCAGTCTGGGAGGTCCAGGAGGAAGGATTGCTTGAGCTTGGGAGTTCAAGACCAGCCTGAGCAAGAGGAGACTGTCTATTAAAAATGGAGAAATTCGCCAGGCATTGTGGCAGGCCCCTGTAGTCCCAGCTCCTTGGGAGATTGAGTCAAGAGAATCGCTTAAGCCCAAGAGTCTGAGGTTGCTGTGAGCTGTGATGCCATAGCACTCTACCGAGGGTGACATAATGAGACTCTGTCTCAAAAAAAAAAAAAAAGAATTATTACTATAAATATATTATAATTTGGGGTTCAAAATCAATAATTCTGTTACGTTTCATTTACAGGTCATGTCTTGATTGCATTGGCAAAAATGCTATCATTTTAGAAAGTCAGATATCTTTATTACCTCCAAAGCTTCTACAACAAGTACTCAAAAAAATAACATTTTGGACTGCAACTAATCACCGAGAAGAACAAAGAATCCAAAAAGAAGAAACAGACAATAAATATCAATGGATCAGTAGCAATTAAACTGTTAGATACTCCATGTATTTCGTATGTTTTAACATTTTAATTGGACTATACATTTACACTCCCAAATTTCAGACATTATTTAAAGGATAAAATTTGAAACAAAAATGGTCTGTTTAAGTGATTCTATGCCATGGGATATGTGGAAAAACGATGTTAATGCAGATTAAGTTATATTTGTAAACAAATTTCCTTTTAAGCTGCAGAGCAAATATTTTTTCTGAAAGTAAGTACAATTATAACAGATTTTACCTCAGTGTGTACTCTTTACTGGAAAGATTACACAAATTTGAGAATACACAAATTACCCCCAAGGACACCAGAAAATTTCCAACAAAACACTAAATATTAACTTTCAGAAAGAATAAATTTTCTCTCGTCATTTTGAAACTACCTAAGCTTCTCCTTAATAACTTGGTTATTAAATGACTTCTTCCTAAATAACTAACATAGCTCACCAAATATTACAAAATAGGCAAACACATGGTATTGAATACTGAACTCTTTCCCTTTTAGCACTTAGTATTCTTAGGCATCATGCCAACTTTTCCTCACTTTTATGTGAACAGGGAAATGAATGACTTCAGTGGTCTTCCCATTACTTCTAAATTGTTAGTTTGTCCATTATATATATAAAGACCATGTTTTAAGGACAGCGCCCATGGCTCTGTGAGTAGGGCGCCAGCCCCATATACCACGGGTGGTGGGTTCAAACTTGGCCCCGGCCAAACTGCAACAAAAAAATAGCCGGGCCTTGTGGCAGGTGCTTGTAGTCCCAGCTACTTGGGAGGCTGAGGCAAGAGACTCAACTGAGCCCATGAGTTGGAGGTTGCTGTGAGCTGTGACACCACAGCACTCTACCAAGGGCGATAAAGTGAGACTCCATCTCTTAAAAAAAAAAAAAAAGACCATGTTTTAAAATATATAAAGTGAAAGTGTATTTATCATAAAGGCTTTAAATATTAAGAAGCACTATATTTATTAACCCTTGAGACATGTTGGAATATATTTTGCCTTGAAAGAGTGCTCCTCAGTAATTTTTGTAAGTAGTGAAATGGGATGGTTATCTAGTAATTTGACTTTATAGAAATTCTTCATTTTGGCCCACATCATTCCACAAAGTTGCTGCTCAAGATGCAAAGATGTTGAAAATCTACTGTCTTCTCTTTTATTTTTGGCACTACTGTCTACACAGAACTGGAACACTGTATCTATATATAACTTGGTACTTTTGCCATAATCAAGACATTTTTTCTTATCACCATCATGCCCTTCCACTGAATTCTTAATTACAATTACTCACTAAAAAGCTTGATATATTATCTCCATAATATCATCGTAAAAAGGCTGGGTGTGGTGGCTCATGCCAACAATCCTAGCACCCATCTCAAGATGGGTGGATTGCCTGAGCTCACGGGTTCAAGACCAGCCTGAGCAAGTGCCATTTCTAAAAATAGCTGGGTGTTATGGTGGGGCCCTGTAGTCCCAGCTACTTGGGAGGGTGAGGCAAGAAAATCACTTGAGCCCAAGAGTTTGAGGTTACTGTGAGCTATGAAGCCACAGCATTCTACTGAGGGCAACAAAGTGAGACTTTGTCTCAAAAAAAAAGAAATCATCATAAAAGTTATCTCTGGGGCGGCGCCTGTGGCTCAGTGAGTAGGGTGCCGGCCCCATATACCGAGGGTGGCGGGTTCAAACCCGGGCCTGGCCAACTGCAACAAAAAATAGCCGGGCATTGTGGTGAGCGCCTGTAGTCCCAGTCAGGAGGTTGAGGCAAGAGAATCACCTAAGCCCAGGAGTTGGAGGTTGCTGTGAGTTGTGTGGTACTCTACTGAGGGCAATAAAGTGAAACTCTGTCTCTACCATAAAAAAAAGTTATCTCTGAAATTTAAAATGTTAGAAAAAGTATATTTCCCATTGAATATCTATAAATAATTTGGGCTGGGCACGGTTGCTATCTGGGAGACTGAAGTGGGTGGATTACTTGAGCTCACGAGTTCAAGACCAGCCTGAGCAAGAGCAAGACCATCTCTATTAAAGAGAAAAACTAGCCCCACCTACTTGGGAGTCTGAGGCAGAAAGATTATTTCAGCCCAAGACTGTGAAGTTGCTGTTAGCTCTTGTCATGGCACTCAATCCCAGGGCGACTGAGTGAGAGTCTGTCTCAAAAAAAAAAAAAAAGAAAAAAAAAAAAGAAAGAAATATATGTAAATAATTTGTAATGAAAGTCATAGTCATTCATACTATTTCATTAAACTTTAGAGATATATTTCCTATATGCGTACTATATTTTGGATGTGTAAAGCTTCTATTTATGTATTGAAATATTTTTTATATTTTATTTATTGTATAAGGTATACAGAATTACTGTTTTCATTCTTGTCAGTGTGAACTAACCATTAGAGTTGATTATGCAAAAAATATTTCAGTGTTTTCATTTTTTCTTATGTTTAGGCTGCATAACAGATTTAGAAAATGGATATCCCAAGTAATATACATCTTAGAAGTAATCATTTTATTTGTATGAACTTCAATATTAGCCTTTTACATTTAAGGCAAAAATATACCAAAACCTATTGAGTGGAATGAACACCTCCTTTTAAAGAGGCTTCTTCAGGCTAATAGCTCACGCCTGTAATCCTAGCACTCTGAGAGGCCAAGGTGGGAGGATTGCCTGAGCTCATGAGTTCAAGACTAGCCTGAGCAAGAGCAAGACCCTGTCTCTAAAAATAGCATGGTGTTGTGGTAGGCACCTGTAGTCCCAGCTACTTGAGAGGTGGAGGCAAGAGAATTGCTTGAGCCCAAGAGTTTGAGGTTGCTGTGAGCTGTGATGCCACAGCACTCAACCCAGGGCAACACCTTGAGACTCTGTCTCAAAAAAAAAAAAAATTAGCCGGGTGTGGTGGCATATGCCTATAGTAGCAGCTACTTGGGAGGTGGAAGCAGGAGGATGACTCGAGCCTAGGAGTTCCAGGCTGCAGTGAGCTGTTTTTCCACTGTACTTATGTAATTCTATTGGAATTTCCAGTCTGATGAAGTTGCTATACAGTCTTGGACATGGGCGCAGCAAGAACTTTTTTGAAAGTCACTCATATCATCATTTACAGTAGAGTTCGTTCCTGGTGCTGTGTGTTCAATATGACATGTGTCCACCATTGTAGTATCATGTGAAATAGTTTCACTGTCCTGAAAAACCTTGGTCTATTCCTCTGTCCCCTCTGACTCCTGGCAAGCACTGACCTTTTTACTGTTTAAGTGGTGTTGCCTTTTCCAGCGTGTCGATCCTGGCAGTCATACAGTGTGCAGCCTTTCAGATCAGCCTCATGGCTCCGTGGTAAGCACTGAAGTTTCCTCCAGGTCTCTCATGGCTTGACAGCGCATTTCATTCAGCTCTGCATAAACATCCCGTTGTCTGGATATGCTGCAGCTGATCCATTCCTGCTGAAGGATGTCTCGATTGTTCCCCAGTCTTGGCAATTATGAATAAAGCTGCTATGAAGACCCATGTGCAGGTTTTTATATGGGCATAGTTTTCAGTTCATTTGGATAAATACCAAGGAGCAAAACTGTTGGATCATGTGCTAAGAGTATGCTTAGTTCTTCCGAAGTGGCTGTGATCTTCTGCTTCCCCATCAGCAATGAAGTGTTCCTGTTGCTTCACAACCTTGCCAGAATTTGGTGCTGAGGATTGTGGCCATTCCACTGGATGTATAGTGCTATCTCCTGGCTTTTTAAATTTGTGATGCCCTAATGACATATGTCACACGCTGATTTGCCACCTGCATATTTTCTTTGGTGAGGTGTCTTTCAACTCCTTTCTCTTTTTTCAGTCAGGTTGTTCATTTTCTTATTGCTGAGGTTTAACAATTCTTTGTATAGTGTAGATAACAGTCCTTTATCAGATGTGACTTTTGCAAATATTTTCTACCAGTCTGGTGGCTCATCTTCTCATTCTCTTGACATTATCTTTCAAGAGCAAAAGTAAAAATAAAATCACAAGAAACTTAATAAAAATATTTTAATAAAGTTCATCTTATCAATTATTTATTTAATGGGCTGTGCTTTGATGTTGTATCTAAAAAATCACCACCAAGGGTGGCGCCTGTGGCTCAGTGGGTAGGGTGCCAGCCCCAAATACCGAGGGTGGTGGGTTCAAACCTGGCCCCAACCAAACTGCAACAAAAAAATAGCCAGGCGTTGTGGCGGGTGCCTGTAGTCCCAGCTACTCGGGAGGCTGAGGCAAGAGAATCACCTAAGCCCAGGAATTGGAGGTTGCTGTGAGTTGTGTGATGCCATGGCACTCTACAGAGGGCAATAAAGTGAGACTCTGTTTCTAAAAAAAAAAAAAAAAAAATTACCACCAACCCAAGATTATCCCAGGTTCCTCCTGTTATTTTCTAGAAATGTTATAGTTTTGTGTTTTACTTTTAGGTCTGTGGCCCATTTTGAGTCAATTTTTGTGGAAGATATAAGGTCTTTGGATTCTTATTCTTGTATGTGAATGTCCAGTTGTTCCAGCACTATTTGTTAAAAAGACTGTCTTTGCTTAATTATTATTGCCTTTGTTCCTTTGTCAATCAGTTGACTATATTCATGTGGGTTTATTTCTGGGGTCTCTATCCTGCTCAATTTGTCTGTGTTTTTGTCAATACAATGCTCTTGATTACTGTTATTTTACACCAAGTCTTAAAGTTGGGTAGTGACAGTCCTCTGACTTTGTTCTTCTCAGATTGAGTTGGCTAGTCTGGGTCCCTTACCTTTTCATATAAACTTTAGAGTAAGTTTGTTGATATGTACAAAACAAATTGCTGGGTTTTGAGTTGGATTGCATTGAATCTGTAGATTATTGTCAAGAACTCATATCTTAATAATGAGTCTTCATATGATTGAATGTGGAATATCTCTCCATTTATTTAATTCTTCTTTGAAATCTTTCACTTGAGTTTTGTAGCTTTCTTCATATATATCTTGTATACATATTATTAGACTTATACCTAAGTATTTTATTTTGGATGGTGTTAATATAAGTGATAATGTGTTTTTAATTTCAAATTCCATTTGTTCATTGT